AAAATACCTTGTTAAGGAGTTTAGTCTGTCTTATAACTTTTTGCATAATGACATCTGTTTTTAAGAGCTTTCATGTTTAATTGTACTTAGCACTCTGTGTGTGCTTTCTTTTTTCTTTCAGGATTAAGCATGAAAATATTGTTGCCCTGGAAGATATTTATGAAAGCCCAAATCACTTGTACCTGGTCATGCAGCTGTAAGTACCTTTGTTTAATTGATGAATGTCAAACAGCATTGTTAATCCCAATGCCTAAATCAATGCATGTCATGGTAGAGGACCAGTCAAATGGGGAGTGGTGAAGTTTGTGGGCACGGGAGAAGGCTGGGGCCATCTAGAGACCATGTGCTGGGTATAGGAATCAACTCACGGGATGGAGTCTGCAGCTGCTGGGCTGGACTGCAGATCGTGAATGTGGGATCACATCCTGCCGTACGGGGTGTCTCTGCCACTTCCTAATGTGCCAGGTCCAAACGTTGCCACTTGAAGACACCCCAGCGGGCCCACTGTGAAGTACACTGTGCTCCTGTCTCTAGGAGAAACTCCCACCCTGTCTTCATTTCCAGGGATCCCAGGGGAGGGAGCAGATGGCGGCTGTGTGTTCTGCCCCTTCCCTTCTCTTGCTCTGGCAGATAAATGCACATGGGATTGGAATGGGGACTTGTGCCAGACATGGTCACAGTATCACTGGAGTCAGACCATTCGATTATCTCCACATTCCAGTCATACTGAAGATTGCCAGGACAGGGAGGAAATTAAAAAGAGAGACTCTCAAATTCAAATGAGAGACTACTTAAATGTATATTTTTAAAATTTTAGATGAAGTAAGCCTCCCCACTAGATAAATGCTTTACTCAAATTGTGATGATTCATTCCTGGAACATGCCAGGACATGTACTAGAATTAACAGATGGAAACTGCTACAGAATAATAAGCTTTTATCATGACCTAAGTAAATAAACTCAAACACCACATTACTGAGCTGTATGGCTGAAGAAGACTTTTCTTGATCAAAATATACACATCATTTCATTGTTTATTAATGTTCAGACTTTGAATCACCAAAGGGATGCAGAAGAATTGATGACTAGGCTAGTAATTTATTTTCCATATAGTCTTCTCTTTCTTATGAATGTTTAAACAACACATTAACTTGGGATCATGTTTGAATGCAAATAAGTATTCACTAATGCATTTATTTAGTATTTCATTATCTTTAAAATATTTTAGTAGGTTATGACACTTTGTGTAAATATTTTAAAATGCCCAACTTGGAAGCATCTGATTTTTTTGAGACTTGACCATGAGTCAGTTTAAGCTTTTTGTGTTTGAATTGTTTAATTTGATGTTAACTCTCCAGTTACCCAGAGGTAATCTTTCCTAGTTCCTTGCTTTTTTAAAAAAAATGATTTGCTACACATCTGATTTTTCTTAACAAGCACTAATTCTCCCTAAATTTAGTGATGCTCTCTGGGGGCTTGTGACTTTTTTAAAAAATAGAATAGATTCTTTAAAGATGCAAGTGAATTATTTGCCTAATAGGAAGACTGTGATATTTTGGTGACAAACAATGACCCTATAAAACATGATCTGTGTATTTAACTGTATGCTCTTTGGATAATACAAAAGTGAATAATATTTGAATTCAATGTTCACTCCCCCATATTCTCTTTAGTTTTGTGTATATGGAAATTTGTGTATATGAATATCAGTTAAAGTATCTCAAATATGGAAATCTTAGCTCTCTCTTTTACTAGCTGGTGAATTAGGGCAAATGAGACTGGTCCTCTCTGAGCACCAGTTTCCATAAAGGGAAAAGTAGGGCTAATATTTACATTAGAGGATTGCAGTGAGTAATGAATGTAAAAAATGTATGGGAAGCAGTCATAAAAAAATAAGTCTCAGTGCATGATGTTTTCTCTGTGGACATCTGTATCGTTTCATCAGGATGTCTCTGCAGATGGCCTTGACTTTTATGAGATAAAGTCTAAGTGGATTTGAGTGTTGCCTTTGTCAGCAACTTGGCTGCTGACTTACTAGCAAAAGTGTACATAGGGGCTGGGGATTTAGCTCAGCAGCATAGTGCCTGCCTGGCAAGCATAAGGTCATGAGATCGATTCCCAGTACCAGAAAGAAAAACAAACAAACAAAAAACAGTGTATGTAAAGATGGGTTGGCACAAGAGCATCACTGTATCTGGGAAGATGCATCCTTAGGTCAAAGCTTGGGAACTCTGTACTTGGCATAGCTTTCCCTACCCTACCTTGTGCTTTCCTGTCAGTAATAGCCTCTCTCTTTTGCAGTTATTCAAAATCTTATTACTATGGTGATAAAGTTTAATTTTTAAACTTTTAAATTTTGTGTCCTATGTGAGCTCTTTTGTCTGTTTTTTCTGTTTGTTTGCTTTTTTCTGGTACCAGGAATTGAACTCACGACATTGCGCTTGCCAGGCGGCGCTGTGCCACTGAGCTAAATCCCCAGCCCCGTAAGCTCTTTTGTCTAACTTATTTCCAAAACATTTTCATCTAGAAATTTTATAGTTTTAGCGTTTCCATTTAAGTATATGTCAAGATCAATTTCTACTTAATTTTATATATGGTATGAGGTAAGGATGATATTTATTTTTGCCATAAGGTTATCCAACTTTCAGGACCATTTATTTTGAAGACTTTTTTCCCCCAATCATTTGCCTTACACCTTTGTCAAAAGTCATTTAAACATGACTAGGTTGATTTCTGTATTCATTGTTCTGGACTATTACTATTCATCTGCCGTTTGTCAATGCCACACTGTTTTGTTTACTATAACTTTAATAGTAAGTCTTGAAATCAGGTAGTAAAAGTCCTTTAGCTTTGTTATTCTTTCCTAAAATAACTTTGACAATCTAGGTTATTTGCACTTTCATATAGGTTTTATAATCATAAATTGGGTGTGGTGGTCCACAGCTATAATTCCAGCTACTCAGAAGCTGAGGCAAGAGGACCACAAATTAGAGGCAGCCTGGACAATTTAGTGAGACTCCTCTCAAGCTTTTAAGAAAGGCTGGGGATGTAGCTTAGTGACAGAGTTCTTGCCTAGCACCTGAGTTCAATCTCTAGTACCAAAGGTAGTAATATATATATATATATATATATATATATATATATATATATATATGGATGGGGTGGAGAGGATTGACTCCTAACCATCTTGGGGAATTTTGTATGGGATTATGTCTAATCTGTATATGTACACAATTGACAACTTTAAAAAGTTGAGCCTTTCAATTCATAAACATGATCAGTCTGTCCATTTCTTTAGATATTTTGTTAGTCATAGTCATAGTTTATAGTTTTAAGCATGTATCTTTGTTCAGTTTATTCTGAAATACTTCTTTTTGATGATCCTAATGTAAATGGATTTTATGTCATTTTTCTAGTTGCTTGCTTCTATTATATAAAAATACAGTTGATTTTTATGATAAATCCACTTGTTAGTTCAGGTAGTTGTTTTGTGTATTTCCTGGCATTTTGATTCTAAACAACTGTGTCAATTTCTGTTAATTCTAGTTGTTCTTCACAGGAATTCTATTTGGTAAAACTTCAGCAGTTTTAAATATTGAGTATTTTAATGTCATATGTCTTTAAAATATTTTACGTCCAATATTTTGGACATTCAAATTAACCTCTTTTATATCTTCATCTCTTCTACTAATTATGTAAATTAGTGAGAGTTTTAAAAAGGAATGACAAGGAAGGGGGGGAGAATAGAAAAGGAAGAGAAACCAAAGAGTGACTGAAAACCCTTGATGTATCAGAATGCAATGCCACTGTTAAGTTTTTGGGTTGATTTCAGGATTTTGTCAGTTGTGTTATTATTTTTGTTACTATATTTTGGTTTTTGTTTGGCAATACTTGATCATTTTTGTTCCCAAGAACTGTATTTGGGGGTGGGAGAGGTCTGGATCAGTGGAAAGTAGTTTTCTTTTGGTTTTTGATAACTTGTGTTTGTATCTGCTTTTGTTTTTGAAGATCTTAGAAAGTCCTTAATTTCTAAATGTTTAGTTAGGATTTAGAGCATAACAGTTCAGGCGACTTTGTTTGACAATATTTGTGCCTGGAAGGTTTTTGGTTTCCTAGGAAACATCATCTTGAGCACTGAAGCTCAGATAAAATAAAGGATGCTCAGCGCACTAATTCTATTACTTTTCTAATTGCTATTTCAGTTCTGAGTGTGGTAGCATATTTGTCCCTGTGTTTTTGTAGGAGGAGATTTGATGCATGTTTATAGAGGCCTCTATTTAAATTTTATTTGGTTTTTCTGAAAAATGTGTTTTTCCTGAATGCTATTTTTAAAACATTTTTCTTTAGATAGTAGGGGTCAATATGACACTGATAGGTTTTTGATGAAAATCCAGCTTATATCGAGTTTATTTCTCATCTGACTTTGCTTGTGGAGGATAAGTATTTGGAGATGATAAAGGATTCTCCCTCACCTCTTCCCATCATGCATCTGTAATAAAACAGGCAGTAAAGTATGTTTCAAGCTGATGTAATACAAAACACTTGGCAGAAGTAATTTTCTTCTTTTTACAAAAAGAAATAGATTATATTCTAATTGAATTAGATCACGTTTTCAATAACACCTAAATTTCCATATGTGGGGAACCTCTGAATGTCTGTCTCCATTGTAGACTCCTCTCCAGAACACTAGGTTGGTATATTTATCGGTCAGCAGTGGTTCCACTTGGCTGTGTAATAAGCATCACTCATTTAACAGATCCAAAATAAGTTTGAATTTTCCACAAAATCTGCTTCTCCTGATGTCTGTCTCATTTTAGCAGATAACAACTCCACTCTTCCAGTTGCCTGGGCCAAAAACCTGGAGTCATCCTAGATTTGTACTTTTTTCTCACACCCAACACACCCACCCATTGGCAAATCCAGTGATTACCAACTTCATGATACATACCAAACCAGTTCTCACTTTCTCCATAGCTACCACCCTGCACAAGCCACCATCACATAGAAAACCCCAACCCTGCCTCACTGGGATGTTCTCTCTTAATGTGTGTATTGTTCACATTTCTGTGGCTGGGATCAAATAGCTGACATATACAACTTCAAGAAAAGGTTTATTTTGGTTCATGATTTCAGAGGGTTCAGTCCATGGTTGGCTGGCTCCAAAACAAAGACATCAAGGTTAAGAGCATGGAGGAG